ATTGTTCATCTGGCAGTAATTGCTTCACCTTCGTCACAAAATAGGGCTTTCCATTTTCTTGCTCACCTTCCCTAGCTCGGACAGCAACGAAAGTATCTACCTTAAGATCCTCAAAGCTACCTCTCTCTTCTTCCCTTCTTCTTTTGCGGCACCCCACATACAAAGGCCTCTCCGGAGGAACTATGCTCAGTTGTTAATCTGTAAGTTCTCCACACAGACGTTCCTCATGCTCGTTCGTACAGAAAATATCATTTGCAGGCCATACGAAAGCAGTTTCGAGAACCGTCATCTCCTCGTCTAGCTGCTCGTGCTCTTGTAAGAAACGATTCCACCAATCCAAATGCTCATCAGCGATATATTTTGCAAAAGCAGTGATGTTTTCCTTCATGCTCATAATTGACAGAGATTTTTGAAGTGCTGCTGATTTCCTTCTTTACTCAGCTGTGAGCATTATCTGTTTCTCAGAAACACTATTTACTTTCGCCTTTTGCTCAACTGTACGTACTACATGCTTTCGAGCAGCGTGAACTATGCCTCTAGGATCAGAATGGAAAATAACAAGACCTCTTCCATTATCTGGTTTCCACTCCGATCTCGAAAATTGTTTGTTCCAAACAGCCACTTTCCCTTCTTCATTGCGTTTGATATGGAAATGTTGGTTGAAATAAATATCATTTAAACTCACAAGATAATCTTCAACGTAAGTTTTTCAATCGTACACTTCTGTCATACGATGCACCTCGACCCCTTTATATTTTGTGTAAGAATGGTGAATGATCTTCTCTAGTGACGGCAGATCATAAGCGTCCTCATGAGACAGTGCTCTTGAAAAGCAATTGAACATCTGATCAATATCCTCATGAGTATGACCGACTAACAAAAAATTGAGCTTCACTTTTTCGAAGACTCTCATCTTAACAAGGAAGACAAGGTACGCTAATACATATTTATTTTTATTCTCCCTAACAGTGTTATCCAATATCAAAAATAAGACTTTAGGCAATGGCTTTGGAAGCCTGGAGATGGTGTAGTGAAGTACGGTAAGCATACAGTTAGAATCCATCTTAAATTTATCGAAAAATAGAGATGCATACGCCTTCTTCTCCTTACCCTTCACTTTTGCGCCGATTACGTGGATCTTCAAAAAAAATTCTTCCTTGATTTTAGAATCTTTTGGAACTCGTTGGAAATGTGGAAGGTTGGTCTTACTCTGGTCCATACCATCCACAATTATGGCGACGTACTTGTGAGGCGATACCCGGGCCTTCTCCCTGCGGTTGGCTAGTATCTGTCTCTCAATTTTCTGTGCATCGAGATGTAACTGCAACATACGCTGGACAATATCTGCAATGATTGGACATAGAAAGCAAAAAACATGTGTAAGAAGGACCAAGTTACAAAGCAGAACATATGGAGGATAACTTTAGGAATAGAAAGAAAATGATTAACAAAGAGGTTAATATACCTTTCTCCACAGGGTTACTTGCTATCGCCCGCCGAAGTTTCAGAGTTGCACATGCGCACATACAGAAAATCGTTTCGTCTCTGGGATGCAAACTCTTGAGCATCACTCTGTCCAGATCTTCATGAAGAAACCAAGTGACGGAATAGTCTCGCCTAGATGCGATCTCTGATAATCGATTGAAAATTTCTCATAAACTATTTTCTTTGTTAAACAGTCTGAGAGATGATACCTATCACTATTAGGCATGATCTCGCTATTCATCCGAAAATAGTTCTTCATCCATGCATAAACGGATATATATCGCACAGAAGGACAACGGTCTCCAGCATTTCCATGTACATATTCCACAACATCAAACGACACTTTTTGGCGAACCATAGCGACTCTAGTTTTCGAAAGACCATAGAGGCGACCCCATGCAAAAGAGCACACAAATCTGCTTTCGAATGATAAACGAAGTTTTTCTACTGAACCGTCTGCATTGAAAAGGAATACCTTTCGTACCTCATTCACTAGATAGTTTATCTGTTGAGGTTGCTTCATCGACCAGAACGACTTTCTGAGGACTAAGACTTGTTGTACTGTGTATAGACTCAGACATTTGCTATTGCAACAGTGGGCACGAAGAGCCGCAACCACACTTTCTACAGTTACCCTCTCCGAAGCCTTTTTGTTATACAACCTTTTATTATTTCCTCTTTTGAGAGATACATAAGTAACTCGTCTGCTTGACTCTTGATATACTTGTTCATCATTGTCTCCAGGCGCAGCTGACATCCACTCAAGCTCTCTGAAAGATGATGTACAGAGGGTATCTCTATCCGCGTGCTCGACGTTACCAGGTCCATGTGTACCCCCTTCCTTAAAAGTTGTACCAGGCCCACTGTTGTCAGGAACCCCTCGATGGATGTTCGTAGGACTCTCTCCATAAACGTTGCCTCCTACCATGATGTCTTCACGTAGTGCATTGTGTTTTTCCCAACACATGTCTCTCTCATTCGCTCCAGTTGTGGCGGGTAGAGCACAACGAACATATCTCGGATCTTCACGTAGTGCGTTGTGCCTTTCCCAATATATATCTCTCTCATTCGCTTCAGTCAACGTGGCGGCTGCAGCACATGGAGTCCCTGAAGACGAAGTGCAGAAGGTATCCGCGTCTATACTTGGAACATCAACATGTGCGCTGTAACCCAAAATCATCGTCTGTTGAACCTCATACTCTCGCGGTTTGAAATTCCTCACAATTCGTTGGCACATAATTCTTCTTCTCTCTGGGACCAAAGGATTCGAGAACAACTTTTTGACAAACTCTTCGTCATCTTTCATCGTCACTTCGGCCATCGTTACTGCTTCTGCTTCATCTTTCATTTTGCTCATATTTCTACCCTCAAAGGCACAACATCAGCTCTCGGTTTTCTACATACAAATAGAAGAAATATTAATCATCGCTTTGGGGTCTACGTTCAAAAGCAATGGAGGAATGGAGGTAGTAAGCATTGGCGTAGAGGTGTTAAGCACTTGCGTACTTATCAAGTGACAAGGGATCAACTTTGTCAGAGATGCAAAACTGTTTGCCTTTGCCGTATGCAAATAGAAGAAAGCGTATGTGTGGCTTTGAGGTGGAGACGTCGACAGTTCTCCAAGAAGAAGACGATCCCAGAGCGCAGATCGGCAAGGAGAAGACCATTCTAGAGTCACACTGTCAATACTATCTCACTCTAGGCGCGTGGATCGCTCAGTCTGGTATGTCACACCATCAATACTGCCTCACTTTAGGCGCGTACATAGCTCAGCAACAAAAAAGGCAAAAGGCGAAAGGCAGTCGACGTCGAAAGTGAAAAGTAACTAACCGGGACTCAGGCGGGGTGCCGAAAGTTTTCAAATGCAGGATATGCATGGGAGACAGTCGAAAATTCGGACGACCTCCCGCCTTTCAGACTCTATGAGATTGGCGAAGAGCAAGGTGGGAATACGCGTTGCCATAGTGAAATATTCAATGCTGACAGTTGAAAATTTGGACTCCCGCCGGCTCTATTACTCTAAGCGGTGATAAAATTCACCACAGTCGGTTGAAAATTTGAGTCCCGCCTTTTCAATTAATCGCCGCCTTTCGTGAGCTCATGACGCCACAGACCTAGTATACTTTTGCAGGCGGCGACAAGATTTCACCAGAGCGAGAAAATTTTATTCTCAACTTTTATTCCACCAAAGGGCATTGAACCTGGCTGGGTTTTGGGAAAGCCCTTCAGACTGTCCATATCAGAAAACCAGACCGATAATTTTACAGGCCTGGTTTTGCAACCCAGCCAGTTTGGGGGAGGCCCATCAGGCAAACAGCCCGCAGTGCAACCCAGCCAGTTTGGGGGAGGCCCATCAGGCAAACAGTCCGCAGTGCAAAACTGGTCTGGTTTTGTGAAAGGCCTTTCGTGCAGGGTGTGCCGACTCTTGTTAGCACCGGCCGGAGAAAATTTAGACTCCGGCCTACCGCGACAAGATCCGCTAAAGTGAACCGAAAATTTTCTTCCCATCTTTTCTACCCGATGTCCACCTTTTCGGCCAGAGCCTGAAGACAGTTGAAAATTTAGGTTCCCGCCGGCCACGACAAGATTCCCCTGAAGTGAGTCGAAAATTTTACTCCCATCGACGTCCACCTTTTCGGCCAGCGCCCCAAAACAGTTCAAAATTTAGATTCCCGCCGACCTCGACCAGCGCCCCAAAACAGTTGAAAATTTAGATTCCCGCCGACCGCGACAAGACCCCGCTAAAGTGAACCTTCCCATCTTTCTACCCGATGTCCACCTTTTCGGCCAGCGCCTCTGGACCGCGATCCTCCAGGCGGCGACAAGGTTTCGCCACGCATTAAACCACCAGTACTTGGCCCTCACATCGGGCGCGGGGCATTCTCCTTAACGCCCCGCAACTTGCGTTGGCTCGGGGTACCGGACCTGCGCCTCTGGACCACGATCCTCCAGGTGGCGACAAGGTTTCTCCATGCATGAAACCACCAGTACTTAGCCCTCACATCAGCCGCAGGGCATTCTCCTTAACGACCCGCAACTTGCACTGGCTCCGGGTACCGGACCTGAAAGGCTGGCGCCACCAGCTACAACAATTTTTTTTTGTTGCGTTGGCGGGTCGGCGCAAAACGACGCGCAGGGCATATTCAAGCCTAGCATCGACAGCTGGACGATTCCACAAAGCGGTACTGAATCCGGCCAGGTTTTAGGGAAGCCCTTCAGCTGTCTATATCAGAAAAGCATACCATAATTTTTTCGACCCGGTTTTGCAAAAGGCCCATCTAGCCTAGCAAGGTTTGGGGGAGGTCGGTCCCACAGTGCAAAACTGGACCGATAATTTTATCGGTCTAGTTTTGTGAAAGGCCTTTCGTCTCGTCCAACTTGGCTAAGTTTTGGTCAAGCCAGATTTGGGGTCAGGCCCGTCAGGCAGACAGTCCAATCACAAAACCGGACCGATAATTTTATCGGTCTGGTTTTGTGAAAGGCCTTTTGTCTCGTCCAACCTCGCGAGGTTGCGGTCAGGCCAGGTTGGGGTCAAGCCCATTAGGCAAACAGAATGATATGTGTTTGGAGACCACATCTCTAAGGTTGTGGACTTCTCAATTCCACTGCACTATTGTGGACCCAACTTTGAGGCCGAGGGCTTCTGGCATTGTTGACGTGGCGTGTACAGTGAAGGTCTCTCTTGACGGGGAACGAGTGGAGATGGCAACCCCTGGTAGAAGCAGCCAGAAATTCCAGCAAACGCCGGATCTTCTTCAAGAAATATCACCTATCAACATAGGGCAAACACTGTCGAGCATGTCGTCTCAGAGGAGACTCCTCGAGCAGCATGTTGACGGAGATGACTTGGAAGAAGAAGAACAGGGGGGTGAAGAAGAAGATGAGGAGGAGGGGGATGAGCAGGAGAACGCAGGTGTTTGTCAGGAAGGGGAACATGAGCAGGGAGTTCCATACGATGAAAGAGTTCCACTTACGGCAGATGATTTGTTCGCGTTGCCGTATGAGTTCGAGTTCCTTGATCAGGACTGGACTGTGCAGAGGCTGGCAGACGGACTGTTCTTGCAGAGGTTGCTTCCCACTGCTCGTGTGTACGATAACGTCGACCGATGCATTATGTTTGCCTACATCGTGAGATAGCAAGACGGGACGCGTATAGTTGTGATCAACTGCTGGACGCAGTGGAGGAATGTCACCACTAGATATGGCCTACTGAAGAAGAACTTTCGAGGAGATGTTCATCACGACCCGTGGCAGATCATCTGCAACAAATTAAAGACTTCTCCTGACCCGGTGAGAACACATCTTGATTTGTAATCTTGACTGGTGATCTTGTTGGTGATCTTGATTGGCGATCTTTGTTGGTGATATTGATTGGTGATTTAGATAGAACAAAGAATGGAAAGCTATCAAGTTTCTTGTCTTGATTCTCGCAGCATAATCTTGACTGATTCGTCGAGACCGTGCAAACGGTTCCGCCAGATTTTCACCGACTCAGCCTCCTGATGAGTCAGTGAATCTCCGACAAGACAGTTTGTAATAGCCCCTCGATTGTTTCCCCTTCTCTGCCTATGGCGGGCGGGCGGG